CCCCCCCCGCCGCTGCCAAGGAGCTGTTGGGGGGGATTTATAGGAGTAACAACGGCTCGTGATGTCAGCCCGTGCCTAAAATAGAGAGGGATTGACTGCAAATCCACGGCTCGAGGGCTAAAACCTTCCAATCCAGCCTCAGCCAGCGCCGCGCCGATGTGAAGTCGCCCCCCACCTCCCGCTCGCAGCCGCGCACACACGCACACGCTCCCCGCGGCGAAGGGAGGGCGCCGGGGATCGCAGCCCAGGTGCCAGCGCCTCCTCGCCCCGCCGGCCACTGCTGGGCGGCCGCGGGGCACCGACAGCCTGCTCTGGGACGGCGGGGTGGGGGACAGCCGAGGAGCGGAGCTGCCGGATCCTAGCCCTGCGGAGCCCCCAGGATTACAAGGAATTGCGTGCTCCTTCCCAGACGTGAGCGAGGGTTATACCAAAGAGCCAACCTCCGTCGCGCCCTGCTGTCCAAATTAATCCCTTGGACTCTTGAGAAGACAGGGGGGTTTTCGGAACCATGGCATCGACAGAAGGGTGAGGGGGACCGTCTCTTGGGTGGGAGGAACGGGAGGATGGGGGAGATGCCCGGCATTGTTCTTTTGGTAACAGTTTCCTGTCATCTGCTTCATTGTTAATCCTTGCCCCTCGCCATTCCCTAACAGAATAATTAGGGAGCGAGAGGAAACGAGAAGCAGACTAGCCACATATAGAAGAGGAAGAGGGGAGAAAGAATTTCAAATATGAGCCACTGAAAAGGTCTTGGTTTTCCTCCCATCACTTCTTTATTTAACCCCTGGAGGGCAGATCAAGCTTAAACCACCTGCCTGAAAGAAGAGTCCAAGTGAATGGTTAACTCAAGAGGGAGGGGGAAGCAGTTTCCTAAATAGAATAGTAATAATAGTAGTAGTAGTAATAATAATAATAATAATAATAATAATAGTAATTATTATTATTTTTTCAAAAAGAATCAAGGACCTGTCCCCCCAGCCATCCCTTAAAAAGGCAACAAACAAATCCAACTTCTCCACTCGAGGAGTTGTGCAATTTTGTAGTTCTGTGCCAAATGCGTTACAGTGCTAGCAAGAGAAATGCTGGGAAGGGCAAAGGGTTCTACAAGAAGCTTTAAAGAAAAGCTAACACAGTTCAGCTCTGGTAGTCCCTCAGAAGGAAACTGTTCTCCCTACCCATGCCAGGATTGCAAGAATCAGTCACTTCGTTGCTCTCTGATAGGGTTGGAGGCTTCTTCAGTTTATAGAGTAACTGGTAGTAGGAAAAAAAAGGTTTCTTTGATCTCTGCTTGCCCTCTTATAACACTAGCTAGTATTAGACTGCGTTTAGTGTGAGCCTCCTCTTTATCCCTGGATGTTGTCATGTTGTATCAGCATGATCTGCTCTGGATAGGACTCTTTGAGGACAGAGTGCAAAAGGGAGCTCAGTTTATATTGCCTTTGTGTCTCAGGTTGAAAGACTTGCTGAGTTGATTTAAATAACTCGACACGTGTCTGGGAGAGTGTGCACACAAGTGTCCCGTTACCTGGTCAGAAGAAGGAACTGACTCTCTGTGCAGTGGCCCCCAAGCAGTTGGCTTGGGAGGAGTGGAATGTTAGAAAGTATTAGTTTTGGTTGCTTTAGAGAAAGGACTGACAAAGTGCAAATCTGTAAGGCTCTTCTGGCTTTTCACAGGACTGTGACAGAAGTAATAAACTTACCATTTGCTATTACTTTGCCTTTGCATGGAATGTCTGCGCTAAATTTATGCGTTTTTGTTTTGGTAGCAGCCCAGTAATTTAACCTGCCCTATACAGCATTTCCTCTGACAATGAAATCACTTAATTAGATACTGTCAACAAATGATCAGAGCCATGAGGAAGACGCTCAGAGATGGAAGAATGATCCTACATCCATAGGGTTGCAGCTCTGTCCCTTCTGTATCCTTGGATTACTCCAACTATCATTCTCCTCTGGATGCTGTAGTCACCTGTCTTTGTATTCCCACATAAGGTGGCTGTAGAGATCTGTGCTTGTTTTGGATCAGTGGAAGAATGCGGGAGTTGTTTTGCAGGAGTTTAATAGAAGGAGACATGACAAGAGATGGCTGTGTTAGAGAAATGTGTCAGCTTTGGATAAAAGAAGGTTTTAAATGTGTGTAGAAAGAGAGGTACTTTTAAAAGAAGTTGGATGAACACATGGGCTAAAAGAGATCAGAGTGCCAAAACCAAAAAGGTTTCAGTGGATGCATGCTCTTGCTTTCCTTACAGAACAGAGCTAAATTGTCAGGATGAGAAAAGAAAAGGTTTAGGCCTTGCTCGCAAACCTTTTAGGAAATTTACCTAGATTAAGACAAGCTGAAACTGTTATTCGATGTGATTCAACTAGTGGTTGGTGATAGCTGAAGGAGGTATGGAAAACAAGTCAAGTGGGAAGCATTTCACTTGTCAATCCCTTTTTACCAGTGAGAAGCTCTTCCAAAACTGAATTGTCATCTTTCTCTCCCCTCAAGTAAAAAGCTGAGGACAGAGATTAGCTTTCACTCTGGTGTAAAGGTCAGCAAACTGAGGCATCATAAGGATCATCGGGGAAAGTGAACATTGACTGGACGTTGTTAAAGAAGGCTTTCCACCGGCAGTGGCACAATGTGAGAGCGGTAGCAGAGAGTGCCCATTGCTGCAAGCAGAGTAGTGTATGTCAGGCACACACAGGTACATTGGAGAAAGACCTGCTGGAGGTGGGGACAAAGGTGTTGTGTCTGTTGGCTCTTGGGATATTCAGCTACATATGTCAGTCGACATCAGAAATATATAAATGCTTTGTTTTGTGGTGATAAAACTACTCCAACCACAGTCATTTTTTGCAGTGAGTTATTTCTCCTCTAACAAGGGAGCTTACATAAAATCTCCAAAGTGAGGATGTCAGGGATGTGACAGGATACTTGACGGACAACAAAAGGCATACGTACACAGAGGAAGGTAATTCTGTATTCCATGGTTAAGAAGTAGTGGTCACTTAAAGCTGGATTTTGCTAGGAAAGATTTCCTTGTCTGCGCCTTTCCAGTTGTTATTTCCTTTTCTTTCAATGTCCTGTCAGGTTACGCTTATCCATGTTTGAAATTTTGCTGCACAAATCTTTCTGTTTCAGGAGGATGGTGGACAATGGGAAACTTCAGCTGGTAGAAAGGGAGAAAGGAAGTGTTCAACAACATGGCAAAATCAGACCCATGCATCCTCTGAATCTGCCTTATTCTAGTTTCAGCTAGTGGGGTTTTGGCTGACTGTTGAGTACACTGTCTCTATCTTGATGGTTAAGTCTTTCTTTCACAAAATCCCCAATACAGATCTCATCACTAAGTTGGGTTTTTGGTGTTCAGTGTGTGCTGAAAATGGAAAATAGCTAGTTCAAGGAGGAAGGGCTAGCACCAAGTATTGATGCTGTTAAGGGTTTCTTGGTTTTATGTTCTCTGTTTAAATGTCCTCTGCTGGCCATGACTGCAGGCAGGGTGCTGCTGGGAGATCTGACCTTCTTACCTGTGCTGCCATTGCCTTTCATGAGTGCTTAGTGTGGTTCAAAGACCCCACAACATTAGTTTATATTTGCAGGCTGTGGTGGATGGCATAGGGCTCACTATGCAGTAGGTTGATCTATGGAGATTTACCATAGCAGGGCATTTCAGCATTTCCATTGCTTTTACAGGGTCTTGGTAGAACCTTAAGGTTAAATGAGATTGACTCTGATCCAATTGATGCCCATGTCTGCCTTCAGACCTTTGAGCAAAGTCCTGAACACCTTGCTTCGTGTAGTTTTATTATGGCTCTCATCTCTCACTTCAGTGTTACTGTTCAAAAGGGAAAGAATGCAGTACCTTGCTACTGATTTGTTTTGTTGGTTTTTGTTGGTTTGTTTTTTTTTTTTTTAATAAAAACCCCACAGATTAGTGTAACCTAGAGATAAGGTTTAGATGTTAAATCAGCTTTATAACTCAGATATTAAACCTTGAGTATTTAAGTTACTTATTTTACTTATTTGAATGTGATTAAATTCTGATTTAAATGCTTGATTCTGATTTAAATACTCTGAAAACCTAGAGATGTGTTTGTATTTTGTATACCTCTTAAGAGTGGGAGTTTCAGGTGTGAAGTCTGGATTTGGGTCTGTTCCTTCAAGAATACAGCCACTAGGAGACACTATCACTGCATCTGTAGTAGCAAATTAAACAGAGACAGAGGAGGTGTCTGAGCCTGGAGCTCAACCCTCTGTGTGCAGGTCAGCCTCAGAGCAGCCCACCATGGTCTGGCCAGGCACCCCTCTCCCAGTCCACAGGTTAGGGAGTCAGTGTGGGCCACTGGGCGTTCCCAGTGGACAGTTTGGATATGATCACCATATTTTGGAGAGTTTAATAATACTGATGTGGGCTCTTCCATTTCCGTTTCTCTCAGTTCTAGAGAATGGCTCCAGGGAAGGTCTGTGGAAAGCCCAGAGATTTTGCCCGTATGGATATGTGGTACACAGTTAACAGGCAAGTCTGGGTGTGCGTGTGGAGGCACCCTGCTACAGAATGAATCCTGTGAAGTGGAATAGTCTGAAACATTATTATGTTTTATAGACAGAAGTCTGGGTAATTGCTTAGCATTGTGGTTCGACTAGTGAAATAGTTTTAAGTGCTTCTCAGTTTTATGTACACTTAATATAAATGGTGTTTATGTAACATGAAATGGCACAAATGCAGTGCTCCTATTCTGTTCAGAGTAGTAGATAAACCACATGGAAACTACAGAGACCCCTGCTCTGGTATTTGACTTTATCAATATCTCACTTAACAAGAAAAAAAACAAAATGAAACAAAAAAACCTGATCTGTGGTCTATTCCTCCTCTCCAAACTTGCTTGTTCATACATCCTATTTCTATAGATACTCTTTCTTCATCCTAAGTTGCATTGTCTCTGAAGCTGCAGTTGCAGCATCATCAGTACTGTTTGTCAGTGCTTCTGGATCACCAAACAATAGAAGTTTGGTCCAGATCAGGGAGCATATTTGGTTTCTCTAAAATTAGCCACAGCATATAGTATGGAATTTACATAGGTTTTATATTAGCTGTAGAAAAATGATTATTAGTCAATTCAACATAAGTTAACACAGGAAGTACAAATAATAAATACTTACCTGGCATCAAGCCCTGTGAATGCAAGTTAAGCTGTCAACATTTTTTGAACAAATTTGAACTTTAAGAATTACTTTACTACACAGGATTATTTTTTTAGTTATGCAGCTGTGGTGGGTTTAGGTCTTGGAGTAGGAGTTATAAGCCATTTTCTGCATTGTCAAGACAAAGCCTGAAAGGGAGATTGCCAGCATTTATTATGCATCTAGCCTGGAGACAACAGGACACACCTAAGTGAGTCAGAAAAACTAACTTTGCATTTCACTGTAGGGTTCAGGCGCCTACATAGGGGAGTGGGGTTTCAGGATCTGACACAATACATACAATAAGCACACCCACAGATTTCTTGCCATCTGAGTTCTTATTCTGTAATTTACCCAC